GGAATTGTGTGTACTATTGTTTATTATGGTTGCTGAAAAAATAACTGTCCACAAACAAACTAAACCGAGTTGCTCAGAGGTTTCAACGTTTTATTTGTTATCAGCAGGCACACAACATTTAAGTGTGCTGAAGTTCTATATACACGATATTAAAGCAAAACTTAAGTCATAAATCCTACTACACTACGCAACTAAAAATTAATTAACAAATACATTGATATAAAAATCATTAAAATTATGTGTATGTAAAAAAATATGTAGGAATAAACACTATAGAAGTCTTATAGTTGTGAAAGAAGCTAAATGTGGAATGATACATCTAAATCTAATAAATAAGACCTTGGTCCATTACTTTTAAAAACGGAAATACTGACTTTGGGGTGCAAAACAAGTATTACGAAAATCATAAAGTATTACACAATCTGTTAACCAGAATAGTCCATTTTAATAAAGCCTAACAAATAACCTAAACAACATGAAAATAATACATACACAACACAAATACGATAAAAAAAATTATAAGTAGAACATAAATAAAGAGAAATGACTTGTTAAATCATACTAAAATGAACTACTTTATAGAAAAATCTCAAAAACCTTTAAGGGAAAAAATACAACAACATACGAATGAATATATTACTTTTTAAAATAAAAATTACCATTGTATCGGCTACAAGGGCATAATAACAATTTAAGAACACAATTGTTTTTTTTCTCCGTTATATAAAACTGCTTTACAAGCAACTTGCAACTTATTTAGAGATTTTTTTAACGTACTCAAAAAATATTATTTTTACGCGTATACTTTTAAGGTTACTGGTTACACTGTTAACTTTTACATTTGTTTGGACCGCGTTCGTAAAAGAGGCAAAAAAGTGTTAAAAAAAACTGTGTCTTTATAACAAATTATCACATTAAAATTAATGTAGAAGTTCAATAAACACTATTTAAAAATTGCACAGAATCGGTGGCACACTTGCATTATGTTTGGTTTAATTTCGCGCGAAATCACAATTTAGTACATCTTACACTACAAGCCAAAACGTATTTTTCACGTACCGACATCGAAGGCACCCCTAACCCTTCGAATTTGAACATAACAATTTGGCGAGTGGGTTTCGGAGGTACTTTGAAAGAGGTCATAAATGTAAGCGAGTTAGGTTTGCCTTTGGCGGTCGGTTGTCTAACTGTAGTTGTTGCATCGCAAGCGCAAAAGTGAGACACACAAACATTTAAAACAGTGTTTTTAAAACCTTAGAACTACAAGAACTGGGAAGCTCACAGCTTCGAAATTAACATTTTCTTTTTTTCTTTAGAAAAAATGCATTCCAATGATCTAGATGGCCGCAGGCCGAGATCACAAATCTGTTAATAATTCATTTATTTCAACTCTAATTGTTGCGAATAAAAAATCTGGCACATATATGGTTGGAATGTTTTATTTTGATTGCACAACTGAATTCGCGCAGGTCCATTTTGATTTTCGCTTCGTCTAAAACTACTCTTTGTTTATCCTGCGTTGAAATTCAGTGGCGCCCTCAAACGATATGTATGAAAAGCATACCATTTTATATACAACATACTGCATTATTTGGTCCAACTTAAATATGTGTTACTGTAAAATCTGGTTTGGTTTGGTGTCGCCAGCCCTCGACGACCATCATTTAGTAAAAGCCAATATCGGGAAGTCTCAAACTTTTTAAAATTGAGTATTTTAGAACTAGATCATACAAAGCAGGGCAAATATCACTAATATCTTATTTGTTGCATAAAATCGACCCACAGTTGTGACTGTAATTTTCTTAATAGTGCTTACAAACTTTTAAAACCAGATACCTTAAAATAGACTTGCCTTAAGAGTTTTTCTGTAACTCTGGTGATGTCAAAATACAAAACAGAGTGTCTCAAATAAAAGTTGTGCCAAATTAATCATTTTAATATTTTGAAATTATTTTTCTCATACAGGGTGTCTCATTTTTTCTGGGTGCTATCTAACTTCATTTTTGAAGGCCTACTTTGATAAACAAATATTGATTATAAGTCGTACTGTTTCAAAGTTATTTGAAGTTATTTTTCATGACAACAAAGTATGGTTTTCACTGTTCGATCAAACACAAAAAGATCTATCTTTCACACATTATTTACTTGATATATGCCTTTCAACTTCAAGTCACTCAAATATCTTTTTTTTTTTAAATATAACATTAAGGTATGCTGAGGTCTATTTCTATAACTTGTATGACGTTCTGCATATTATGTATCATTATTGCTAATTTTAGCGAGTAGTTAAATCAAATGACTTTTATCACAAATGTAAAAGATGGTTATTAAGTATGACATTTCAAGAACAAGCATTTTGGTGTTGTTAAAATATTAACGAAGAAGTTTAATTTATAAAATGACATTTAGAATTGTTCTCTTCATTGATTTAATAAAAATACTGAAGAAATTCGAGCTGGTAAACACTATATACTAAGATTTTATTTATTTACAATTTGATTTAGATATTTTATCATTTTTGATATAAAATCGGCTATTCTTTCTATTTTAATAACAAATTCACATGTTTTAAGAGCAAGCGGTAGGTGTCCATTGTATATGGAACTACTTTAGATTCTTGGGATGAAAATAATAATAAATTGAAATAATAACATGAATAAACAATGGGAATTTTTTAAATAAAAATGGAATATCACACTTTATTTTCGAAAATGTTTAATATTTTCGGGTGTCTCGAAAGTCAGCGAAAGAAAAAACATCAAATGACACTGAAATGGTATGACTTAGTTACAATATTTGTTCAACAAAGTTTACCATTTTAAAACATGAAGTATTTGATTTAGTGCAACTTTTATAACGTACACATTTTTATATTTTTAATATTACAAAAAATATGGAAGAATTCATCTTACTAGAACACCCTGTACTAAAAGTTAAACTTCTCTCAAAGAACAGCTTCTGTTAAATGATATTTAAGGCAATTTAAACCCATTTTTAATTTAATAATAGAATATGTACTTATCTTTTCGTTTTAGTGGAATTTTGAAAAATGTGCATTCCTTTTGTCATTTCAAGTGATAATTGGTGTTCCCGAATACTTTGTCCACTGTCGCAATCTTATTGTTATTTTAATTTGTTCGAGAACCGCTTTGAATGATTTTCAGAAAATGATGGTTGCAGGGTTGGCACACGTTATAACTGTCGGTATCGGTTTGGTTTTGGTTGGTTGTAATTATCTGACGGTTGTTGAAAGGGGAATGAAGCATCTTTAAACTCTACCTGGAGTCAATCTTTTTTCTCTCAAACAAAATAGCTTCCATTTTCAAATATATAATATATTTAATATATCTTATATACTACTTAATATTGATGTAAATATATATGTATGTATATACCATCTAATTGCACTTCATTGTTATATGAAAAAAGAAACAAAAAAAATATATCACTTGGAAAACGGACGGTGACGGTAAACGTCACAATCAACTTTCCAATGACTCATCAATAATCAAATATTTATATCAATTAACTACCTCTAATTGTTTAATTTTATATAATAATATTTAAGATATTTTTAGAGAAAATATACATCAAAAATTTTGATTAAATCACAGATAGATATAATTTTTTCAATTGTGGGATTCTCCCAAGGGTTTTCGATATATAACCATTCTCCTTCATCAAAGCAGTTTAGAATGCGTGAACATGTATGTGTATCGTGTGGTTTTTTTTATACAGTTTGAGGTATATGCGACGTCGAAGACACATAGAGAGAGTACATTTATGATAAGTAGTTTTTTTTTTCGTACATGCCAAATACACCGAACAATAAACATTTATCGAATTGGAACAGCCAAACACTATCTGAGCCAAACTTGTAACCGAAAAATTGCCATAAAAATTACACATTTTCGATGACAAACATTTGCATAAAAAATTAATTTCGGAAGGGCATTTTCAATTTTTATTTTACTTTTAAACCTAAATACATATTTGCACAATTTTAAAATTAAAAAAAACTAGCCAAAATTTAAAATCTTTTTGTAGGTTATTCACAACGTACGTAGATACACAGGATGTTTAAAAAACATGTACCACGGCTCATAGGAAGATTAGTCATATTTGTTTTTGATATACATTGTGTTAATTTTTTAATTGAATTTTCCAAAATTATTTTATGCTAAAATGTGTATGATTGTTAATATTTTTCCCAACCCAAATTTCATCCAAATTATTAAAATTGTTTTGAAGATACGTAATTTGTCTGGCTACTAAATGAGCACTACCTATGGACTGGATTATTTTTAGTTTAGGAGAAAAGTCAAAATTAAAAATAAATATTATTTTTTCAAGAAATATGGGTGTGTAGGCAATATTCTAATCATTCATTTATTTTAACTGAATTTAAAATTCCTTATATAAAGTTCCTCCTAAAGTTAAGAAATGAAGCGGAAAATGAAAAAATGTAGGTTATTGATTTTTTTCAATTTATTTTTAATTGAGGCACATTTATTAATATTATAACTGAATTTAATGTTTTTTCCTATAATAATAATAATGTGATTGGAGAAATAATAACAATATACAAATTTTATTCGATAAATCAAATTATCACTGCTCGAAGCATTCAGCCAAAATGAAAAAATAAATTAACATTATTTGGATGTTAAAAAAATATTGATGGTATTTCGAAATGAAAATTTAAATTCAAAATAAATCAATATTATTAGAATTTAACCAAAAATGCTACACATACATACAGGGTAAGAAAGTACCGATGGTCTATCTGAAATTACCTGAGAGCGATAAAGTAAGCCATAGAAATCCATGCGATAGAGAAGGATGGCTATAATGAAGGCTTCTCTTTGTCACCGCCCTTCCACAAATAAGATCCACTTCTTATTTGTGGAAGGGCGAAATGGGCGTTGACTATTAGACGCCTTCATTATAGCCATCCTTGTCTATCACATGGATTTCTATGGCTTACTTTATCGCTCTCACGTAACTTCTGATAGACCATCGGTACTTTCCTACACTGTATACCAAAAACATATTTTTTTAATTTTAGTTGATTAAAATAATGACGTTTTGTCCTAAACCAAAAATTCCTCAGTATACTTAGGTTCCTCTTAATGGTATTCAGATAAGAAAACACTATTAGAAATTCAAAAAAAAAAATCGAGAACAAAAACTTTTTCCATTTCTAGCTAGGTAATTTTGTAACATTTTTGAAATAATTTTACTTAGTTTAATTTTACATTGAAAATGTGGTTAAAAATTTGGGAAATGGCAACTGAAATGTGGGAACTGATGTAGACTTTACATTTTCGCAATTTTTCAAATCTAACTGGAAATATCGAGGAATTTTTTGGTCAAAATTTGATATACATCCTATACATTAAAAAAAAACGTTAAACACCCTGTATTCCAGGAATTTAGCAGTAATGGGTCAATAAACATTTATGCAATAAGGGGAAACAATATGTTCTTCATTTTTAGAATGAAAACTGGGAAAAGATGTAATTTTCGGGCAATTTTCCGTATTGGATAATACTTATGAGTGGTAACATTGACCTTTTGGAACGTTAGAGCTATTGGAATGTGTTTTTGGAGTCGTTGAGCGGCGTTTGGCCATTCCAGGGAATGGTAGTGATTTTAATGAGTACATTTTAGAGTCGAGAACACCTAATATACAGATCACTGCTTTGATGCGTACCAAATACTATGCTAGAAATCAATAAAAAACCATAATAAATAATTATCAACAAACACCGTCATATCGAGCTCGTTTTTTGTTTCACTTACAACCGCGCGTGCCTCCAACATGGAAACACGTTTATTTACTAATAAAGTACACATCTTCAGTATAAAATTCTTTCACTTACGATAGGTACCAACGTTTCCGGCTGATGTCAGTCTTGAGGCGCGTCGTTATCTGAGGCACTGCTGGGCGCGCTCTCGGTCATGCCGTTGTGGTCCATGTCGGGCAGGGCCTCCCGGAACCTCACCAGCATCTCTGGTTTGAGGTTCTCCGGCTTGACCAGGTCTTGTTTTAAGTATATCCGGGGTTGTTTGCGCTCCTCTTCCATCACCTTCCTCTCGCTCGATGTGTTTGAATCGTTCGAGAGTTCTATCGTGTGGACCTCAGAGCTGTCTTTCTCGTACCTCGAAGAGGAGTCGTCGTCGATGTTGTCCTCTTGCGAAGCAACCCCTGAAAGTTCGAAAACCCATCTCAAGTTTTTGCAGGAGACAATTTCGGATGATACAAAAATGCCGTTACGTCTTAAAAAATATACCTACACTCTTAAAAAACAATTTTTAGCTATACAGGGTGGCTTAGACTTTAATCGGGAAACTTATCAGACTTTATGAGCGCTTTTTTCCAGGTGCAGAATGTTGGAATTGAAAAAAATCACATCTTAAATGTTTGATGAATCTTAGGTCAATAATTTATTTAATTTAGAAGTAAATTCTCTTGGTTTTCAACTACAACTAGTAGAGGAGGTACCATTGGTCAGTACCACTAGCAACCTCAGAATTTCGACAACACTGATTATATTGGAAATGAGATTACTCTTTTAATACCTAATGGAATTTCTAACAAAAAGGTATTGAACACAAAACGTTCTACGTTTCATATTCAAATGAACCTTCTTGTATCCAATATTCTATGAGTTACTGCAGGTTTTATATGAACATATTAGAAGAAAATCTATTTCCGAGGGCAAAGTTGTTTCAATATTGTCATATTTCTATGATATTTCATGGTAATATAGAGGAATGGCACATATTCAGATCAAATTTTTCTATATAAATCCTAACTTTGATCTCCCAAGCTCGAATCCGGTTATTTTGTGACACTCAAATAATATCACTTCTCAAAAAATTACAAAATTAAGGATTACATATCGGACAATAAGTTATAATTTTGGCATTCAGAACACGAAGCTGTTTGAGGTAATTATCCCATTGGATATTTTCCAGAAAGTGTGGGTGAGATATAACCTCTAAAGTGTGTTATATCTTAAATGTCATTGCTACCACTGCATTGCCTAATGGCAGAAAATATTACTTTATACCTACTGACAAAGAGCGACCTACTAATCCGTAGTGTTGCACTGGGCAAAATAAAGCTGTTAACTATTGAAAAGCTAGCAACAACAGATTAGTAGGTCTCCCTGACTTTAATGTAGGAAGCAATTGTTCTATATGCTCTAAAGAGCATTATTAATAATTACACTTATAATATATGGCAAAACTAGTTAAGATCATTCATCATCAGTAAAACCACCAAACAGGTTTATACCTGTTTTGAACTTAAATTTTCATTATCTTAGTTTCATAGTACCTAGAGATAATAGATCACTTTTTGGCAGTACGTACGAAGTAATTCTTTGTACCAGCACTCACCGGATAGCAATAACTTTTATGATGTAACAAACATACTGTATAGGCTATTGATTATATCCAAAAAACAGGGTTAAAAGGAACTATGATGTTCAAGCAATTTTATTACATGAATCGTTCAAAGGGTAATTTTAGATGAAAAAACCGCGGAGTGCTAGTAAATTAGAGGGTGGAAACTGGAGATAAGGGTGGAAATGCACCCCTTTAAGTTTTTTAATTATAACTCGAAAATTAAGCAAAATTTGACTATAGTTCGTAGGAAAAATTATTTAGAGAATTGAATATTCCATCGAAATGGCTTATTTAAAAAATTTAAAAGGAAAATTGTATGCAAAAAATTAATAATAACGTTAATAAACGTTAATAAAAAAAGCAAAAAATTCGATTTTTTGATTTTTTTTTACTTTTTTGCCTCTAGCTTTTTTTGAGTAGAGATAGGTATTGCTTCACAGAAAAAAAATAGATAAAATTTTCTTCAAAATAAGAGGTTGTAAAGTGTTTTTGGATGAAAATTGACTGATATATCGACGTTCGCAAATAAGAACATCGTAACTCGATAATGATGGTTTCTTACAAAGTAGGTTTAAAGTTCTAGAGGTTTTCTCTTAATTGCAACACATCTTTTCAAAGTTACCATATGAAATTTGGTTACAGTCTAAATATGAGGTACAGAAACAATTTCTTATAAATGTATAGTGAAAATTACTATTATTTTTCTTTTTAAATTAACTTTAGTAAGATACGATGGAGCTATCTGCTATTTTTTAAGTAACTAACATCTTATGTAGAGATGAGATGTAACTATCCCTATATCTAAGAAACCTAGTATATCATATCTAAAGATACAGAGTTGTATACACTCACCACCAGCAGTAATAGAAAAGTAATAACATCGTATGTTAAGTTAAGATGAAAATAACACATACTTCTCAAAAAAGTAGTATCTTATGTTCACTTGCAATAAAACGGTGTAATAATTGTTACACCTTCAATATAATTGTATATAAAAATACGATGTTCTTTAAAAAGCATGTTTGCTATAATCCAGGAGCAACTCTACATACGATTAGTTTGTTTATTTTACAACTGTGTAATCAAAATTGTAACTGTTGTTACGATAATATTTAGGTTAAATTTCTATACAAAATAGATACGATAAAAATACTTTTTCAAAAACTGAATATATTTTTCAAAATAAATTGGAATACATGGTTTTAGCTGAAAAAGAAGGCACTCTTATATAGAAAGGTAATCTTTACTAATTTTTACTAAAAATTGAGATATGATGTTCTTATTTGCGAACGTCGATATGGTCGTTCAAACTTACAATTAGCCAATTTTTCAATTTTCGCTGCGTTTTTTTGCAAAAAAGGAAGGAAATAAGATGTTCAAGGATTTTCATCACACGACTTGTTCGAAGGGTCATTAAAAATTAAAAACCGCGTGGCAAAACGACTATATATTTTATAGGAAAAATTTTGTAGAGAATTGAATTTCCCCTCGCAATGGCATTTTAAAAAAATTTTAAGAAAGATTTTATGCAAAAAATCGTTAATAAACAATTTTAAAAAAAGCAAAAAATAAAATTTTTTGATTTTTTTATACCTTTTTGACTATTTTTTTTTAGTAGAAATAGGCCAAGAAAATTGCTGTACAAAAAAACTAGATGACATTTCCTTCAAAAGTATGCATTTTCAAAAGTTTTTGCACTAATGTTGACTGAGTTATAACCGGTCAAACTTAAATATTTTTTAGATTTTTGTCATTTTTAACATATTAATGATTATATAATTATTATTGTTTTTACAACAAATTGGTTCTTTACTTAATAAAAAATTATTTCAAAAGTTTTATTTGTTAATAATAAATAATAAGATAAGATTTTCCCAAAGTAAACAGCAAAATATTAAGTTTGTAACCTGCCTATGTCTGGTTGTTCTACTGACGATTGATCTTAATTAGATACTGTGGGTATAATTCAATGCTGACTGGAGCTTTAACTCACTTTTCAAAAAGTTGCACAATGTAAATTTAGATGAAATTTAATCTACCCTACCATCAACTACTTTTTTTCTGAAAAGAGACATCTTGTACGACTAGCTACATTTTAATTACGTTTTCTGAAAAAACATATATACTTTCAACAGAACAATGTTAAATTGATTTTCAGATTAAAATTACTTATTACCATCTTTACCAAAAATTAAATTAGATAAATATAGACTACATAGGATAGGTTAGGTTAAGTTAAATTGTATTAGGATTAGATAAGATAGGATGTCATACCAAAAATTAGGTTAAATAAAAATAGAATAGGTTAGGTTAGATCAGTTTACGTTGGATTATATTAGGATTAGATAACAGAGGATGTTTTACGATAAGTATAGGTTCAATAAATTGTCGAAATCTGAAGCTGTGCCAGTCTTTTATACAATTTAAAACTACCCAGGCCCCTCAAAATTCAAAAGAGATATCTACTTTATGCAAAAACTATTCATTCATATAAATTAGAGCTGTGTCTTTCCTGAACGAAGCGTTCCAAAGGATCGATACCATAATTGGATTCGAAGGATTTGATTCCTACAGTGTTGAATTTACGATTCACGATTGCAGGACCGCTTCGATGTGCTTTGTACAAAATAAATAATATATTAAATATCTGAAGAACTTAATGATTTTCGTTATCATTGGAAGAACGGAATTGAATGTGGACTTATCAACTCCGACACAACTATGGCCAGATTCGGAATCGTGAATGAATTCACAGAATCAATTCTGACAAGGGAATTGGTATCGTTAATTCGAGTCCCTGAAAGGAATGATTTAGCCCAGTTCTAATATAAATGGCAAATCAAATTTCTTTTCATAGCGGTATAGATGGTGCTGCCATCTAGAATCTTTCGATGAAAAAAACTTTGAGAACAGTTACATCGAAATCACTGGTTTCTGAGATATTTGAATCTTAATATATTCCATTTTTAAAAACAAAAGGTGTTATAAATTCCTCAAAATTAGTTTGGTGTTATTTGATACATAATTTTTTTTAATTAAGTTCTAGTTAAGCGTGTTTTTGATATTTTAATTCAAAAGGATGTTTGTAATAACTTGAACTGACTAAATGAATCATTGTCATATTTAATAACATACAGTATTAAGCAAAATTAAATACTAATAACAAAATTTTAAAATGTAGCTTATGAAAAATGAAAATATAAATAAAATCAAGAAGTAAATAATTTGCAGCCAATCTGGAAGCTGGATTAGAAATAATTTTTATTACCATTTTACTAGCAGAACTTAATATGACATAAGTTCCAAGGCCTTGTGAAGAATAATGTTTCTTAGAATTGAAGTCATTTAATTGAACTATACAGGGTGTTTTAAAACATATGCCAGAAAATTAAGATTACAATAAATAAATTAATTAAGTAGATTCAAAATTGTTACTAATAATGACAAAAAATGAAATAAATCGGAAAACTAGATGAAAAGCAAATGTTTTTGTCGGCAATACTTTCTTTCATGTTTTCCGTCATAAAACATTCTTGAAAACGGTTCGCATTAGAGATTTTGATGATGAGTACCTTTTTTGTACAGAAAACATTGGTGGTTTAAAATATGTTTTTAGAATATCAATTTTCGGAGTCGTAAAATATAGGGGCAAAAGAACTTTACGCAAACCTAAAATCTCCGCCACTGTCATATGAATGAAAAATTGAATTAGTGCTCAAAAGTAGCTAATATTAATGATATGTGTACAAAATTTGAGTTCTGTATCACAAACGGTTTCTGAGATATCCTCAAAAAACTGAAAAAAAATCTTTTTTTTTGGCACCCCATATCTCGAAAACGGTGCGTTTGCAGGCACATGTTAATAAGAACTTTTTTTCTTAGAATGAGCCAAAGAATCACACCCTTCATTTTCCGACACATGTTTAGAAACACCCTGTATAACTTTTGTTAGAGAACTCAAATATGCTCGCTAAAATAACTTTTGTTACCAAACTACTTCCTACCTGTCGCAAAGTTCAAAGGACTGGACCCTTTCCTGTAAGATTCGTCCCCTGAACTGTTCGCTTCCGTCATGGCCGGTTTGGACAGAGGTGTGAGTCTGCTGTTTCGACACAGCTGGTCTAAGAGTGCCTTATTGGACATATTCTCGGGTGCAAGGTTCTTCTCTTCCTTGGGCGACTTCTCCTCGCAGCTGGGCACGCCAGTTTCCAAGCTAGACCTTATAATGCCGTCCAAGAAGGATCCGTTTGAGCCTGCACTCTCCAAAAGCGACTCTGCCATCTGTCGGGCATTTTTCGCTAACGCGGGGGCGAGTCCTCCCGGAGCTGTTTGGGTAGAACTTCCAAGAGACCTGGAGGACTCCTCTTGGAGCTTCTGCATCATTTGGGAGGCGAAGAATTCGGGATTGGGGGCAGAGAACTGAGAGGTGGGGTTTCTCGCTGCATACTCTAGGGGAGATATATGTGAGAAACCTGGGTGAGGCCAGAAGGGGAACGGAGGTGGGTTGTACCCTGCCAGGGGGGCCATGCCTGGCTCGAAGATAGGCAGCTTCATGCCGTTGGGCGAGGTCGGTGGGAATTTTTGAGGCGGTTTCATCACAGGCTTCAGTTTGTCTTGGGACATACGCAGGTCGTTCTGCTTGAGGCTGGCTATCTTTTCGTCGACGGGGTTGGGTTTCGGGTCCCTCTTCCTCGGCCTCATCAGATGTCTCTCCTTCACTTTGTATTCTAGAGTGGAATGAGGCACGCCGTAGTAGCTTCCTGCTCTGTGGACAGACATCTCGCCTCTTTGTACTGCTCTGACGGCTTCTACTAAGCTGTCTCGGTCGTAGTTTCGGTATTTGCCACGTTTGGGGCGGGTACCTGCAAAATCAATATTATTACAACCTTAAAGTACCTAAAGTGCACTCTAGTATCTAGGCGATATATAGCGTGGCCCAATAATAACCAGAATTTTCTTCACTTGTGACATCTCTTCAGTAGTGGCAGACATATTACTTCATAAAACAATAAAACAAAACAATATGTATTTACGTATTAAAAAACTAATGAAACAAAGTAGATGTATTGCCACGTAGCTAAAGTACATATTGCAGAATCAATTATAAAGAAAACAGTAAAGTTCTTTTGAATTCCAGTTACAAAATGTGTGTTTTAAAAGTTATCCTAATTAAAAGGAGTTACTAGTGTAGAAATATATCTTGTAATAGTTTCCAGAGCAATTTGAATTAACCTAGCAATGCACTATCTTCCATTATTTATAATTACTGGCTAAACCACAGGTGGTGACATCACTAAACAGTGACATTTTAGATGTGAGGCTTTGTATTATAAGTGATCTACTTTGTAACATTTTTATTAATAATTCAATAGAACAAATAATTCTATTTATGAAGAATTAAAATGTGTCATCTTCACAAAATCTAGATCTTTGAGACTAATTCTTTGAGCCATTAAAAAAAAATATAAAAATATTTCATCTCCGTACTTCAGGTCCAAAATAGTAAGTAGGTTAGTAAGTCACAAATAAAATATGCCACAATTTTACTACATAAGCTGATAAAATAATGCTGTGTATTCCTTTCATGCAAATTGTAATGTGCTGTTCATTTTGCACAGTGTGTTATTATTATAATTATCATTTTTGGAACCCTCTAAAACGGTACGCCCATGGAATTGCATTTTACTCATGCCTTATCCGTTGCACGGTCTAATAGTCCAGTTACTCGAGGTTTTTACCTCCAAATTCTTTATAATTGAACCGATTGACGTGAAATTTTGACTGAATGTGGGAAATGCCTCAAGGAACAAAACTTATATAGTGCCGAAGTGTGCTTTTGCCCTGGGGGTGGTTCTCACCCCTTCTTGGGAGTGGAAATTTTTACGCCCAAAATAACCACAGGAATCGATAGAGGAGTCAATTTTAAGTAACAAATGCCATATAAAGTTTACTGGATAATCCAATACTTTCCGAGTAATTCGTCATTGAAAATGTTGATTTTTGACTGAAAAAGTGCTTTTTTCGGACAGTTTTTTGCAAATAATTCTGAAATCATTGGATTTAACGAAAAAGTTGTAATGAACAAAAAGGAAGGTAATAAAAATCAAATCTAATGGCATTATATTGTTTTTCTCTAATTGCAATATGAACCGAGTTATGGATTTTTAAACATTATATGTTAGCTAAAAACTAAATTGGAACCATTTAACGTTAAATAACGCCAAAACCATAAACATTAGGAAAAAAACTATTTGAATCTTTTTTAAAGGACTGAAAAACCTTTAAAATGAGGTGTTTTAAAAGTCTTTAGAATCAAAATTAACGGAAATATGGTCGAATTAACATGATAGTCTTACTTTTTTTTTTAAGAAAAAAGTAATAAACAAATCAGTGCCTTTGGCGACAGAATTAAAATTAAATGCAATCCATTTACAGATTTCTTCATATATGTTCTAAGAATATGTTCTGGGTCTTTGCCTCACTTACAAAGCATGGTTTCGAAAAAAAACTTAATTTTTGAAAATATTAATTTTTCAAATTTTTTTAAAAAATTCGATTTTTACGTTGTAACTTAAAAATTAAAGGGTGTACGAAAAATATACAAGAGTAAAAAAATTAGCTTTATTTTTGCTGAAGAGTTTGCTTACTTTTTTTTATTCCTCTAAAGTTAATATTAATCGAGATATCGCCATTTAAAGTTATATGAATGAGAGAAACACCCTTTTCGAGCCCTTTAAACCCTTCAAACTTAAAAATTAAGGGCTTAAAAAAGATCAACTCAACAGTTCACGTAGCCCTTACAATTCCCTGAAAAATGAGCCTTTGTGCGATTAAAAAGTAAGAAAGTAATCGTCAAAAAAATAAACACGTGTAGAGGTGATAATTTTAGGAAAATTTAGGTCAAACAAGAATTTTTAAGCATTTAGTTTTTTTTTTGTATATATACGTATTTAGTAGGTATGTGTATATTCGAATAAACCAGTACTATATTTATAATACACACTATACTACACACATGCATACACCCCACACACAATAATAATAATAATAATAATAAAGAGAATAGCAGTGACGACGAATAATCATTTACATGTAATTATAATGTTTTTTTTTTGTATTTATTATTATTAAAAAGGAAAATAAAAATGTATAAATGTAAGAGGTAATTTTTAAGGGTTGAAAAGTTGCAATCAATTCAAAATTATTTTATAAGAAGGGAATAAAAATGTTTATTTAATACGAATGCACATTTAAAATGTTTCTACTCTTTCAATCATATTTTTTCATTTTATTTTCGAAAGAAGGGGTATTTTTCAAGGATTGAAAAGTTGCAGTCGATAAAAATATTTTTTAATCAAGAAATCAATTTTAATTTGATAAAAATGCATGATTAAAACGTTTCGAGTTGAAAACATTTTTTTTATATTATTTTCATCCAAAGGGGTGGTTTTTAAAGGTTTTTCTGGGTTGAAAATTTGGGATACATTAATTTTCATGTTAGATAGCACATCAAATTACTCATACTGTATAAATAAAAAGGATTTGATTACATAAAATGCTTAAATTTGTTTTTTTTTCCAATAAGGGGTGGTTTTCACCCCTTAAGAACAAAAAGCACACCTAGCGTATATATAAGTTTTGAAGTGGAGGGTAAGATGAGCCTAATTCTAAATTTTGAGAAAAATCGATGCAGTTATAAAAAATTCGGAGGTATTTACGATATTTTCAGCCACAGTAACTGGGCTATAATGTTAAGAACTAACTACTATTCTGGACCTAGAGTATACAGATAATGAATCATAAGGCAATTTGAGATTACTAGATGAGTTTTTTTTACATTTTCTTTTTCGTTTTTCGTTTTGATCTTAGGAATAGTTTCAGTTTTGATTTTGAGACTTCCTTCTACGTTATTTTTAAGTTTGGTATATGGTTCTCAAGAACAAAACATGTTATCAGTAGGTTCTAAATGATTTCAGTCTTACCTTTCCCTCCCGTTGGAGCCCCGCTACCCGTATTCTGCACCGGCTTGGGAGGCTGGTACTGCCTGCCGATGTCTTGCGTCTTCATCACAGGCATGCCCGTCCCCAGAGGCGGCGTAAACCCGCCCCTCTTAAAGTCCATGTCTATGATGGGTCTCCTAGGTTCCATCGGCTGCTGGAACTTTTGACTAATGCTTTGAGCGATAACGTCCTTGACGTCCTTCATCATGAAGCCCTTGCTGGGCAGCACCGGGGGAGACCCGGACTCGCTGGTCACGGGAGGGGAGGCCGTGCTGCCCATGGGCTCCTGCATGGAGCTCCTGAACAAGTCGCAACCGTTCTTGCTCGACGTCGGCTTGAAGGACGGAATTTTCAGTATCACATTCGAGGGCGACTCGTCCGTCTCCATGTCAGACTCTGACCTGGGTTTCTCTATCTTGGTGATGACGGAGTTGCTGGGGCTGGGCCTGGTGAATTTCTCGCTGTCGCCGTTGTTGTTCTGTATCTTCATCACGTCTTCGGCCATCATCCGCTTCACGAACTCCGGGATCACCTGGTTCAGCACTGAACCTTCTGCGGGTTTCTGATTGGCTATCAAGCTGTGAGAAGCCAGGAGTATGTTTTGTATGTAAGGTCCTACTTCGCTGTGGTCCATACCGGCCCACATATCCTGTCCCTCCTTCCCTTTCAAGAGGAGGTGCTTCAAGGCTTCGGAAGTTTGATCCCTTCCGGTGAACCTGAACAAGTCCGCCATGGTCAGGAGAGGTCCTTGGAGCGCTTTCTCTACTTCCTTTTCTTCCTCGGCCCCAGACAACTCCTTGTCGTCGTCCATGACCTCCTCCTCGTCCAGTTTCATGGGCGTGGAGCTGATGAGGTGGCTCTCCCTCTCGCGCTCCAGGGCAAGCTTGTAGACTTTGTTTCGCAGCGTGGAGCGGGGTATTCCGTAGATGACCGCGGCGCGGCGCGTTCCCAACTTCCCCGACTGGATGTCTCTGAGGGCCGCCTGCAGTTCGTCTTCCGTGTAGGTCCTCCTGCCGGCCACCGCTGACATCCTAGGCTTCGCTCTAAAATCAGAACTGAAATTATAGGCGCGTGAGGTGTTGTACCAGCTCTCTTCGCCGTGAACGAAAAAAACTTAAAACGTATAAATAACTATACTAAAAGGTTAAAAATGTAGTCGCTTGTGTGTGAAAATAGATTACAAAAAAAATATACAAGGCGTTTACGAATGGAGATGTTTTATTGGTAGAAAGTTAAAGTTAAAAGAGTTAATAATAATTATTTTCGATAATCAAAATCGTTGAAATTGTAAAATGGCGCTTACAATTTAATGATAATCGAAACTGTTAAAACTTATTGAGAACCTCTGGTACCGTGAAGTTATTTTTTTATAGATTCTTATTTTAACTGTTTTCTTTTTGTGAAAGGACAGGCTTGTGGTGTGTATATTAACAAATGCAAATAAACATACTAAAATGGCCCACCAATACGACAGCAAGAAATTAATGGGTCTGGTGACAACGAATGGAACCGTTGATGAACACTGCGATTTCCAAAGAGACATGCATCAACACTTGTAAACAGAGGCAAAGTTATCGGTAGAGTCAGCGGTTCCAAACAAGTTTTCATTGTATCAATGTGGTAAGTGGTGGTGATAATTCAATACCGATAAAAACTAGAAGAGATAAGTTATAGGGAACCATAGTATGGATGGAAAGAGAATAAAACGGCACATCAAAATTGGGTGTCCCATTACAAAAAATCAAGTTTAGATGTTTTCCCGTGGACAAAACTCGGTATTGAATTATCACCACCCTGTATAAGATTCGGTAACTTGAATATATGGTTATGCAGCTTAGGTATTTAGCTCCTGCTCCTGCAAATATTGTAACTGTAGAATGCGCACGGGTTTAAAGTAGGTTTCGATTTTTTATTTCTTTTTTTCCTAAAAAGTTAAGTATCTCGAAAACGGATAAATTTAGGAATAGGGAAACTTCATGAAAGCTACCTTAAAATGAAACGTATAATCCAAAAATGTAAATATATACAGGGTGTTCCATTTAAAATAGCAAAGTTGATGTCAACTTCCGGTATAACCGGAATTGTTACAGGAAAATTATTTGACTTCAAAAGAGCACACCCAAAAACCCTACTGTGCCAATTTTCAAAATTTAAATCGAAGTAGGTTCTGAAATAATCTAATAGGTCACCCGGTATATCTTTTTGAAATCTGAATGTCTTAAACTTGTAAGCAAATAATCGAGGTCAAAATTGTCAATTTACCACGTGCCACAAGGTGAAACTTTCTGAAAATAAAAGTTTAACCCTTTCTTTAATTGTTTCTAAAATCCCGGTCACATAGGTACGTCCAATAGTTAATTAACAGTTAATAACGTTTTAAAAAAAACGCTATCTTGAGAACAAAAAGGCGTCTATGATTTCCCTTTTTTAAATTAACGGAAAAATAAGCTCTATTTTATGCAAAAAGAGCGAATTCTCGAGCGGCTTTCGCCTGACCATGGGACAATTTGTTTATAACGCTTTTTGCATGTCCTACTTTATTGTAAAGGGCGACTTATTTTCAACTTTTTAAAATTTTTCTTTTTTGATATCTATTCTTCTAAAATTAACGTTTAGTAATTAAACAATTAATTTAAAAAAACGAACGAAATTAATTAATAAATACTTGGAGCAACAATTTTAAGGTCACTGGAATCGGCCTTTGGCACACATTGGTCTTTGGATTGACCGTCTTTTCCATAAATTTCATCAACATCCATTACTTTTTGTAAAAATATTGCGCAATATTTGAAAACTGATTTTTCCGCGTTCGACTTTTATTTTACAGTTAACAATTGATCAAATATGACTTTCGGTAAGTATCTGAAATTGTAGGTAATTTAATTGCTTACAACATAAAAAGACTAATTTTCCGAAAGGTCGTCTAGATTTACAAGGGTAGTAAAAAAAAATTGAAAAAACACGTAATTTTGAAATTTACTCATATTTGCAATTTATCAACTTGGAGTCATTTCTTAGGAGTTACTTATTTGATATTATCATTCTACATTCCCCGTCATAAAGTGCAACAAAATGTCTACTAATAATTTTTTTACATATAGTTTTTCTGATTTCAATTAAAAACCAAAGAGTTTGGCGGTATATACCAGGTTCGGTCGCTAGGCAACAACTCGGTATTGAAATATTTGAAAAACTTGTTCCCATATTTATTTAGCCATACAGGTTTGGTCGCCCAGAAAATGCGCGCGCGGGCAAACGGCAAACAAACACAGCCGGACTGGGCGACCAGCCATAAATTTCAGTTGTTGACAATTGCTTAGCAGTGCAGTGCAGCAATGCAGAATTTGGTGTGATTCAGGTAATTTTAATTTATTATAGGCATCTTCTATTAATCATTCATATTACAATTGTGAAAGGGAGAAAGAAGAGGGATATTTTGTTTGCTAATATTATTACAACTTGGCATTTTGGAGACCTTTTGAAACGGAACAAAACGAAATACCGCCAGACAATATTGAATTAGTAGAAACGGTTGTTGATGAAACAGATTTAGAATTTAAAAATAAAGATTTATATGTTCAATATCAGCGTCTTTGAATATTTACGATTGTTTAAAAGAGGAAGAAAATGAAAAAACTAGATAATGAAATTATAAATAGAATTCACATATTAACACGAGTTAAGTTTCAGTGTCCATAATTTTTCGTGTTATTGAATAAGGTGTTATATAGATCACTGCGTAAAGAGGAAGCGAAAACAAAAATTTAAAAATATCGATGTCATGACGAGAGACGTAATTCGACGGACAATTTATAATTTATATAAAGAAAACTGAGGACATAAATAATTATTGAATTATGTTGTTGGCCAAATGAACATATAATAGAAATTTTCAAAACGTTATATACAAAGTTATATCATTTTCTACCTTTAACAAAAAACCTTTTAGGGACGCGCATGAAACTCATTAAATTTTATTGCTAGACATTTTTATACATATTCAACTGACATCGGAAAGACTACTATAACAACCCATATTTTCGTAGCGCACGCTTGATGCGAAACCAAAATCAAACGACAATCTGCGGCTACGCCGCCTAAGTCGTCGCATGCACTTCTAGATAATGCGATTCCGCCCTTGTCCCAATTCGAGATATTCGACTACACGAGGAATGCATTGACATTAATTCCTAGCCAACCATTTCGCGTCGGTTAAAATAATTGCGGCTCGATATGTAATTTCGAGTGAGAGCTCACTTGTCGGGATTAATATTATCCGCGAAATAACAGCTCTCCGCGATTGTTGTTATGCGCTTGTTATTTAAAATGTGTATGTTTTTCAGGTGCGTTGGCAATGGTGTCAATGCATCGTGTGTTCGATTCGATTCAATGTCGGATGGTACTTATCTGCATAGCTCCGTTCGAGTAGCGCAAACACTCGCGGCTGTTTCGAAAAATCGAACGTTTTCTCTTTCAGATTTTTTGTCAGTTCGTTTGTTTTCATTCTGTTGTCGCAGATATTCGGATTTATTACACAAAGTGTCCCGAATTGCACACACTAAACATTACATGGTGATAGAGCGCCTCAAGATAAAAAAATAGTATGATTCATACATAGTTGTAGAAAGCTTAATTTTTGATAGATATGAAATTTAAAAAATGTATCTCAAACTGTTTAGTTGGATTGATAAAACTTGGGACGATTTAATTAATTAAAGGCAAAAATTAGCTGAGTTGTTTAAGAAATGTGTCAAGCAGTGGCGGAGATGTTAGGGAGATACCGTCTCTACCTTGGGAATTCGAAGCCATTTAGGATTTCCAACTTTTAATTCTTTATTTTTGGGACAAAGAAGACAAAAATTCAGACCAAAGACGAACAATTAAGACATTTTTTATTTGTCTTATGAAACAAACAAATCTATAATCAGAAAAAAAATTAAAGGAGCAGAAAAATTTCCAAATATTTTTAGAGATTTTTGAAAGGCTATAACTTCCTGAATAATGATCGTATCGAGAAAAAAAAAGAAGCTTCTTGAAGCTTGAAGATTCTAGTTATGAAATTTTGAGATGAAACATTTTTTTGAGCATCCCTCTTGGCACAATCAAAAGAAATAATGCAAGGCAGAAATTTTACAATTTTTTTTTCAAAATCGCACAAGGGCTAAGAATTTTTTTTCTGGTTTAATCAACGCTAGGGTCACTTAGCCTGATTCATCAGCTTCAATTTGGTTGTTTAATTTTCTGTACGATTAGGTATTTCTCATTAGATATATCGGCTATTGAGTGAGTGAAAAGTCACCTTTTTTTTGATCATCGATTTCTCATATGATCGTACAGCGAAAGGAAGGAGGGAGAAACCAGAATCAACCCCCTTCGAGGGCTATTTTTTGTTTATACGCATTAATTTGAAAAAGTGCAAAATAATGAGTTTTCCTGCTGGTTTGGAAAATCAACGACTGCTTTGCAAATATTGCGAAAAGTACCAATAGTCCACAGTACAGACCCCCTCTGGAAAGTTGATTACCACATACTTTATAACTCCTGAGGGGCTTCGTTTTGACGAGTCTACTACATTTTTCCTCCGCGACTTTTCTCGATTCCTCCGCTTTTCCACTCGGAAAAGTCCAAAAACATGGCAATTTCCCGGGGTCTTGAAAACTCAAGACCACATCTTTTATTTTTAGCTTAAGTAACTGGAAATTTTGTTGCAAATGCCGATTTAAATTTGTCCGACAGAAATTCCTCCGACATTGACGTGTCTACCGGTCGAAACATGCCAAAATAACAGGGTATTGAAAATCAATTACCACATAGGTAATTTTTAGTAAAATTAATTGTAAATAATTAATTCAGTCAAAAAGTATTGTTGTCCGACAAATTTCAAGCCGCGTTTTTTCAGTCCGACAGCTGGAAATCGGAATTTTCACAGGGTATGAAAAATCGATTACCACATGTCGGACAAAAATAACACACGATAGAAAAGTGTTTTTTATAAGCAAAAATTGTAATGTCCGACAAAAATATATCCGCAAATCGTCAGTCCGACAAAAAAAGA